GAACCTCTTTACGAACATTGATTCTAACTCTGTGAATGTATTCATAGAATCTTTTGGAAACTCAACGTACCATTTGAAAGCAGCTACTATCAAACTGCTAATAAACTATTAAAAGAGTAGGGCACTAGAAATAAACAAAGATAAATAAAATAAATTCATGTGAGAAGTTTAACTTCAAAGCAATTCATAGTTAGAGAGGAGAAAACTTACCCAATCCCTTCAATCAAAGCTACAGATCAAGATGAAGGTTACTGTTGTACCCAATTCAGTTAGTAATAATAATAATAATAAAGTTTGTCTTGTAACAAGAGAAAGAAATATGGATTCATGAGCAATGTGAGTTGAATTACTACAGGTTTATGGGCCTTTTTTTTAACGAAAAGGTACTGGATGGTCAGTTAAGTGGGCTTTGTTTTTTTTTTTTTTGGGAAAATTTGGGGCTTAGCCCGTATATTGATCAAATGAACAGGTTACAAAAAGAAACATCCAACTCAAAAGATAAACAAGAAAACTATGAGCTGAAAACAAAAATTACAATCCCAGAACGACAAAATAAAATTGTCACCAACGAGGCTCAGAATAAACGGACTGGGAGAAGGCAAAAATCACCGAAGCCACTCAAAGCCTTCAAAAAGTTACCCGGTTGCCATCAATAATCCACAGGAATGTCCAGCAGGGTGCAAAAGCCAGGCCAAGTACCGGAAGAAGCCAAGCAGATAATGAGGCCATCCAGGGTAGTAGGCGACAACCCAGTCCGGCTCATCATTTCCAGGGGACAAAACCAATAACCTTTCCAGAATTAGAATTGGTGAGAGAAGCATTGAGGATAGGTGCTGCATAAATTTTCAAAATTCTTCCAGAATCTGGCCTTGGAAAGAATGGCAGAGATGCTACGGTAATAGATGGTGATAGGAGAGCAAAGTTTCCTCGAAAATCTCCTATCATTGCGTTCTCGCCAAATGAAGTAAAGCAAACAACAAACAACAAAATAACAAAAATTCTTTTCTTGTGAATTAAGCCCTTGATCTCCCTCAAAAAATTCCAGAAGCTGCATCAGATTAGGCCTTAAAAGGAATGTCTGCGTGCTAGGTAAAAGCATTTGTAAAATCTGATTCGAAAAATCACATTGGAAGAAAAGATGGTTTATGCTTTCATGTTCGGCATTGCATAACGGACAAATAGGGGGAATGAAAATGTTCCGGGTGGCCAGAACCTCCACCGATTTAAGCCCCCTCATCACAGCTAACCAAGCATAAGCCGAGTACCTTAAAGCCGATCTTTTATGCCAAATTAACTTATACCAGCTAACTTTGGTATGATTAGAGTAGTAAACCATTTTAAAGGTTTTGAAGCAAGGCACGCCCTCCCCCAGCCAAGTGATACTACTGGGACCATCAGAAACAGGAATAGCCAAAATAGCGTGGGACAGCTAAGGGGAAATTACCTCCGTGAAATTCCAACATCCCTCTAAAATAAACTCGTTAACACTCATAAATCCAACAGGACTATGAGACATTAAGCTAGCAAGAGTTTGATCATTCAACCACGGGTCCCAA